TAAAAATTGTAAACGGTGGATAATTTAATTTTTGTAGAGCACTCATTTAAGACTCTGTGAGATAAACTATAATTAACTTAGACGGTCGTTAATTATTACTTGTTTCGTTTGACAGAGAAAAAATATTTGAAAGCTTTGTTACGATCTTATCAAGTTTACTCCTGAAACCGAGCATAAATGACATCGTAATTCGTATGATCAATTAAATAATTTTACGTTTTAAGGAATGGGAAGAATTGATAGCTAAACATGAGTCTATTATCGGTAAATTATATAAATTTGATTAAATCGTATATTATGTTACCGTTTTTATCATATTAACGCTTTATTCTTTTCAAAAAATGCTAAGAAGATCGACATTGTGGTTACATACGACGACAAACAGTCAAGCCTTATGATACATAATCTATTTTAAAATTTCAAATAATGTTGTAAAGGACATATAAGAGTCAAATAAAACGTTAAAAATATATATATGTCACAGAATTAAATAAAATAAAAATTTAATTGAACGTTAGTAAGATTCATTACACGTTTCGGCTTTATATCAAGCCATCTTCAGATGTTCTTCAACGTAGTTAACATTTCCGCAAGATATTTATTAATATTCGGTAAAATTACAAAAATATCCATGATCGACCTAGAATGGTAGATGAGTGTTTTCCAAGATACAAAATTTCTCTCTCAAATGATTTACTGACCGTATGTTTCAAATTTCTAGATATTACATACATTACAGAATATTTATTAATTTCTTATTTATGAGAAAGACTGCTAAAAGAAATAATTTCTTTTCCACACTCACCGAACACTCGAGTATCTCATTGCATTAGTCGATCCTTGTCAAAAAATATAAAAAAAAATTCGCAGATAACGTTTTGTCAATTATACACAATTCTCAGTTAAATTATAAGACAATACAACATATTAATATTGCGCTGACTGTAATTATGCGTTCTACTTTTATTTCATATTTTGATTTTATTCGGATAAACTTTGGTAATCGTACATAGATTATTTAAATCATGGATAAAATTTCGTAAACTCAATTTAAAGAGTATTTTACATATTTGTTTTTTAAAAGATTGTATCAGTCATAAGATCATACCACGACACTTAGATAGATTTTGGTAAACTTTGAAATCAAATTTCATCATCATAATCCAACTCGAAAATTTCAAAACTGCAAGATGTTTATACAAAAAATATTACATAATAAACTTAATGATACATACAGGAAAAACGATTATTACAGAAAACAAGTTATCTTTCTGGCAAGCACATTTTCTTATTATTTACCTGTTCAAATCTGAATGAATCTGGTGAATTTTTAAATACACAGGAGAAATCTTGTTTTTCCTATATTATGAAAGAAAAGGACAGAATTATATCTAAATTCAATTGGTTACTAGATAAACAGAAAAAACATACACTTCAAAATATAAAATCTATATCAGTGTCGGTTGAATATTCTAATAACTTGAAACTCACACAATGTTCACAACAGGAGATGGCTAACAAAGATTCTATGATTTTACACACTTTTCAAAATAATTCAGTTTCTTGCATTTGTAAAGACTTTGATCCGTTAACCAATAATATAACTCTAATACTCCTAATACCATATTTCCTGAATCTTTTTCCAAGTTACATATTACCAATTCTTTAACTTCGGTCAGAGACAGGTGGTTTGTAAATCTTTCATCTATTTCCATTTCTTATAAAGTTCAATGTTTTTTGCAATGTTTTTAGGTGAGAATTTTGCTCTTACAAATAGAAACAAGAGAAACATTAATTTTGATTGTATTAAAAGTATTGAACATAGGTCGGAAATTTTCTATTATTATATATATATAATCGAATAGATATAATTAATTATTCAATTCCTATACTTAACAACATAGTTTCATCTCCTCTCTTCACATCTCCCATTGATTATAAATTATCGAATCTAGAATTAATTACAAAAAATTATTTAAAATCACAACCGAACATTATTTTTACTCATGCAGACAAAGGTAATGTTACAGTAGCTTTACAGACAGAGATACTTATATTGAGAAAGTAACATTAAGGGGATGCTGGAGTGATGTGCGTGAAGTTAGCACCGCCATTTTGTAAACAAATAAAAATAATATTTGTGCTGAATTGTGTACCATTTGTGCTACATTATGCCGCAACAATTAATGACATAATTCGAACAACAAAGCGATAAATTGAAAAAACCTTTTTTTTCGCCAGCACCGCCAGTTTGTTTAATCGGCAAAATAAACACTGTGCTGAGTTGTGCTACATTTGTGCTACATTGTGCCGCAAAGATTTCAACCGTTCCTTCATAACAACAAAAGTTAGGACTAAAAATAATTTTGCCCTTCGTGCTCGGTTTCTTGTCCATAAATCGGGTTATAGTGCTTCGATGCGAACGATACTTTATATCTGAGTTGTGCTAGCGTAGCACAAGTCAGCACAACCATTATATTCGCCGGCACAACGACATTAAGGGCACTTTACTCTTGAGCGCGACCCTTCGCGCAAGGCTTTCTTGTTCAAAATTCGGGTTTATAATGCTTCCTTGCGAACGGTACTTTATATCTGAGTTGTGCTAGCGTAGCACAAGTCAGCACAACCGATATATTTGCCGGCACAACGACATTAAGGGCACTTTACTCTTGAGCGCGACCCTTCGCGCAAGGCTTTCTTGTTCAAAATTCGGGTTTATAATGCTTCCATGCGAACGGTACTTTATATCTGAGTTGTGCTAGCATAGCACAAGTCAGTACAACCGTTATATTCGAAGGCACAACGACATTAAGGGCACTTTACTCTTGAGCGCGACCCTTGGCGCAAGGCTTTCTTGTTCAAAATTCGGGTTTATAATGATTCCTTGCGAACGATACTGTGTGTCTAACAGAGCACCAGTTTTTTTATATATTCTATTATTTATTTCGGACAAATTTAAATACCTATTCTGTTAGTAATTTAAAGTACTTCATTTTATAGTAAACTTGAAATAACTCGAAAAATTCGCTCAGAATTGTCCATCCGACAAAAAGATTGATACACATACAGGATATTTCGCAAATCGATAATCACTACAATGAAGTTTTCCAAAAATCGATTAAACAAAATAATGTGTGTTTTAAAAAATGTTATTTAAAAAAAAGCAGTAATTTTAAAGTCTAAATGTTTAATATATTCTATTATTGATTACGTTCAAACGATAATTTGTCCATGAATTATCTATGCGCAGTAACGTATTAGTAAGCGCATACTTCAGCGTTTAAATGTAATCTGTGGCCATATTAAAATTCTTATAAAATTTGTGTCCCGTCACATTTATTTCTGTCAACGTTTTTGTTTTCAATTAATGGAAATATCAATCTGCTTTAAATTTAATTTTATTGTCAAATCATCTTCTGAAATCTATTGATTTATTCTGTAAGTTATTTGTAGGATATTTAATAGATTATGTGTCTTGTTGGTACGTTGATTAGATTTATTGAAATTTAATCTGCCAAAAAAGAAGTGCTTGCATTGTTATATTATATTTCTAATTGTAAGGTAAGTAGGAAATCTGTAAGAATGTTGACTTTATTGATTCGTAATTCCTGTTGTTATTTTTATATAACAAAATATGTTTATGTTTTATTGCATAAAGATCTTACAGTTAGTAAAAGCACAGAGAGAGAATTTCTAAAATTTATTTTATTACTACCTAGTTTCCTATATCGAGAAACACAAAAAAGCCTATAAAAAACTATATTATAAATTTTACATTTTTTTTTAGTTTTAGAAATTAAAATTACAAAAATTAATCAATACAATATATGTTAATAATACACATCTTGTAAATAAAATGACGTCTAAATTATGTGTATGTTTGAAACATAAAACTTTCTTTTTAATCTGTTGCTAAATACACTTAAATACTAAATACATTTAAATAATAATTTTTTTTGTATCCTATATAATAAATTTGTGTATAGCATAAAATATATAATAAACTTGTATATATCATAAAATATATATTAAGTATATAAAATACCTTATAAATATTAAAAGTAAACTATATACAGGGTGGGCCATTTTAATCGATCCACCCAATATCTCGAAAACTAAACCCAGTAGACAAAAATGTTTCAGACAAAAATGTTTGACTCGAAGGGGGACATATGATGGTGCCATCGATTTAACCTTGGATAGTCCTCTGAAGGTCACGTGAAGGTCATCTTTAATTTTTTAAATGAAACCCCTTATTTCTCAATGCACATTCTTACAGCTCATCTCGAGAGCTTTCCAAAATACTATAATTAAGTTCATTTTCATTAAGTACTTTTCAAGTTATAAGGCTTGCAAGTTACAGCACCGCCAGCATTTAAGCATTACCCAAGAGTCCGATCGACGGCTAAAATCTCTTGAATGCTGTTCAGGATCATGATCTGGATAATATTTGTCAAGATCAAGGCCATTGGAGGTTGTTCCTCTTATTTTCATTTCTACGTAGAAATGTAATTTTTAGTGCAAAAATGAAAATAATAGGAACAACCTCCAATGACCTTGATCTTGACAAATATTATCCAGATCATGATCCTGAACAGCATTCAAGAGATTTTAGCCGTCGATCGGACTCTTGGGTAATGCTTAAATGCTGGCGGTGCTGTAACTTGCAAGCCTTATAACTTGAAAAGTACTTAATGAAAATGAACTTAATTATAGTATTTTGGAAAGCTCTCGAGATGAGCTATAAGAATGTGCAATGAGAAATAAGGGATTCCATTAAAAAAATTAAAGGTGACCTTCACGTGACCTTCAGAGAACTATCCAAGGTCAAATCGATGGCACCATCTTATATCCCCCTTCGAGTCAAACAACTTTTGTCTGAAACATTTTTGTCTGGGTTTAGTTTTCGAAATATTTGGGTGAATCGATTAAAATGGCCAACCCTGTATATATTTATGTATATATATGTAATTTTGCATGCTGAAATATGTTTTCAATTATTATTTCGTGAGGGTGTACATGCATATGTGACCTTTGACCGCAGTTTGTTCGTCAACAACTCTTGATTTACCTTTACGCGAATTATCATTATAGTAAACCCATTTTCTGCCTGTTTCAATGTAAGCGATGTAATGACCTATAGATGTTACATCATTATTTCCTTCATGTGCAATAATACCAGATAAGATGTATCTATTGCGAGTTGCACATAGCTCTGCGGGATATTCAGACAGCACTATCGATCTTTGATCACTACTTTCGGTTTCTATAATTAAATGTGGGCCATACGTGATATTTGATTACTGAGATTTTCCGCAACATGTTCGGTGAATGTCAAATCCTTCATTTAATGCTTCTTGTAAAAATTGAATTCTTTTTCATATATTATCGTATAATTGATAATGCATAAAACATATCGACGTATTTTTACACGATTGCATGTGTTACACGTATTCATTTCCGTAAAACTTGGAATATCCTTAAGCAACCAAGTTGTAAGGTTGCCTATATTAGAAATAGCACTTACTTTTATTATAGAGTCTTGTCTAATGTCTAGCTTTAGCTTATTAAGATTGCACAATATTTTAGCGCGTTCTTTAAAAAAATGTGCTTTTAACCCCTCTTTTATCAATACTTTAGCGCATAATATTAATTTTGAAGATGTTTCTAATAATGCATTATTGTATTCTTTGTTATTCACCAGGCTTGCAGATAATATTTGACACAAACTATCAAAACCGCACGTATTTGTTACTATTAAAGTAACTTTTCCATTTTTTATATTTTTGCAATAATTTCCATTCGGTATTACAGGCAACGTTAACTTATCACTAATTGCATCAAAATTGGGACATGCATCAACATAGCGACAAACAGTCCGTTTTTTGTGTTTTTATTGCGCCAATTTTTTTCAGCTTGCAGTTCGGTTAATTCTGTTGAATCGTTATCTACAGGACTATTATCACAATCGGAAATTTTAGTGGATATATGGTAAGTAAATTATCCATAGGACTATCATAATCGGAAACATCAATGGATACAGGTAAATTATTATTATTATTATTATTTCTATCAATTTCACTTTTATCGTTTATACAATCATTTACTAACTTCCCCGCCATTGCCAATTTTATTTTTCCTGATAAACAAGAAATATATTTACTTATAAACTTATCAGTTCTTATAGGAAGAGACACATCTCTGAACGTACGATTTTTTAAATCATTAAATTCTGATTCCACTGCCGCAGACGTTGCATTTATCGATCCATAGCCAAATATTGCACGCATAACTTCGCTAAACAACGGAAAATACTTTAATAAATTTGTAAACTTCTTCGCAAAATCTATACAGTAAAATCCATTAATATCGTAAGTTTCCTCGAATTTATTTATTTGAGAAACACAGTCGTTATATACTGAATAAGTCCAATGACATATATTTGTTTCGGGTGCATCTACCTCATTTAATATATTCTGATCGCTTTTACATTCGGCATCAGATATTGGCGCATTTTTATCATTTATTGATAATATATCTGTAACGCCTTGTATAAGTAATGTTAAATTGTTTCGTGCTTTCATCGTTAAACCGTTAGAACCATGGTAAGGACTTAGTGCGAGAAATAAAATATTATGCGCAATTTCTTCAAATTCGTGGAATGTCTTTTGTTTCCTTAAAACTGCCATCGCACGCATAAAAAATGTTCTTACTATAGATGGTTTGCCAGCAAAACACTTCCATCTAGCAATCATATTCATAAAATGACAAACATCTAATCGTAAAAGACAATGCGGTATAGGTAACTTTACACCGGTTAATAAAGCAAAGCACGTAGATAAATAATCATGCAATGTAATAGATTTCGTAAATGCTCTTGCAACAGCTCCAAGCAATGCTTTATCAAAATCGGTAACTACTTCTTTAGGAGAGGGAAATGAAGAGTTTTGCATGGCACCTGTCCGTAAAAACTCTTGCAACCAAAATACTATTGTATTTGTATTTTGTGATGCAGAAATCATTTGAAAAACGGGAGCTGTATTTTCACCAATTTGTGCAATAGCTTGATATAAATATATGTGTGGACATAATTCGCGATTTGGTAATTTAATTTTTTTAATTAAAGATCCATTAGCATCAATATATAATGTCATATGATATTTCTCATATATAGCAAATTGTTCTCGAGTCCAATAATGTATAATTAACGGATCCAACCCAATAAATTTAATCGCGCCCTCGTACCGTGAACTATATTTCATTAAGAAAAGACTTTCAAATACATTGGTAGATGTTACAACTTATCTTGTCGTTCTTGTTTAGCTTTACGAAGTACATCACACGAGTATAAATGTGCAGGCTCGTCATCTCAACATCCATCAACATTTCAGCTCGTTTTCTTCTCCACATACAAGGAAGTGTCTTACCCTCTACCAATTTATAAGCAATTTGTTTACGATCAAGACCTTTCAAATTTCGTTTTTTCTTATGCTTCACATTTGAATCATAATTATGGATTGTACATTCCATTGTTACATTATCTTTTTTTTTGGTGCATTTATAATTTGCCCTACAAAACTGCATTTACATTCTGTACATTTACCGGTAACAGTTAAAAAAATTCCAGTTGCAGATATTTTCGCACATTTAAAAGTAAGTGCGCACGGCAGTTTTGTTTCATTATATAAACGCTCATAGAGTATGCTTGTCCATGCGTAACGTCGTAATATACGTACATTACGTTTACCACGATTCTTAAAATATTTTTTTTTTTCATCAGAAATTTGCGGCCATATGTCAGTGACATTGATCGAAAAAGAAATTGTATGACTATTATTATTTAATGTATCAATTGATGTTTCCGAAATGTCTGAATTATTCTTTTCTACTTTGATATTATGTATTAAAAGTAAATCTTTATAAGTATTGAAACGATTTAATTTTAAAATAGTATAAATATATTTTGGACTTATTAAATGATCCAATGCAGCAGAAAGTTGTTTATATAGATTAGAACTTGGAGGTGCAACGCATTATTTCCTATTACATCTTTAAAATCTGTCGACTTTAATAATGACATTAAATAGGGGCCATTACAAGATTGTTCGTATTAACGATAAAACTTCCTGAAACATAACACAGTTTAAGATATTCTTTCTTAACAATAAAAATTTAAGAATCTCAGTCCACAACTTTTAAGAGACTCTAAGTCGTAAACCGAAAGAGGTTAAGTGACAATTACTGTCTTTAAACTATTTTTGAGCAGCATTAGATTTTAACTATTAGACTTAAGCGAATTGAGCAGAATCTAATCCTTAACGGCATAAGGGCCATGGCACACAAAAAAACTTAAGCAGTAAAACGTAAGCAGTAAGCGAATTGACCAACCACGGTAGAGTCCGTAAGACCATAACGTAAGCAGTAGTCAATCTGAAGGCCCGTCTACAATACATGAAGTAAGAAGTAAGAGTAAGAAATTGACCAATCACAGTCGAATGTGAGAAGAATAATCGACTGTGATTGGTCAATTTCTTACTCTTACTTTTTACTCCGTACATTGTAGACGACGCCTGACATGTTATGCGTCGTCTACAATGACGGTAGCAGTAGAGACTGTAAGCATGTCGGGAGTAAGCTGATTTTCCAGCTAAGCTATTAATGATTCATCAATCAACGTCAAATCGATGTTGATTCAACGTCGCTGGACGTTAAATCGATGTTAATTCAATGTCGATCGACGTTAATTCTATATTGATCGATCATTTATTTGTAGCTAGGGATGTAATAGGGAGTAGAGTAAGTCCGTAAGCGAAATGGTTGAAATCCATTTCCTACGATTCACTCTTAAAGCAAATCAGAGTTCTGGGGTATAAATTCGATATTTTATATCCCAGAGCTCTGATTGGATGGCTCGTTATTCCCTGTTGCCTTTGCCCATTGTGTTTCCAGCTTAACACGAAACGCGCGCGGGAACTGTTGTTTTTGGCTGCTTTCCTTTTAGGAGACACAGTCGACACACTTGACACAAATCGACACACGTCGCTTTCCATTTACCATTTTGTTCAAACTCAATCGACACACTTCGCCTCTGCTCGGGAGCAGAGACAGAGTGTGTTTCGAGTCTGTTCAAGTGTAATTTTGATGAATTAAGTGATATTAGAACGCACCCGCAAACCAATTTCCATCATTTTGTTCTGTTT